ATTTACATGGTCTCTTGGAGTTCCTTGGACTAGGCCTGACATATCGGCCCTGATACTCCCCGTGGTTTACAGAGTTGTTGAGGGTTCTGAAGAGGGTCAAGAAACATCTAAAACGTCACTGGAGGAAGACAAAGACCAAATCCGACCGAACACAGGTTAGAGCTGCTATTAAGGCCTACCTTGTGGCGATAAGAACGGTGAAGCATCAATACTTCTCCACCCTTATTGCATCCGCTGAATGCTGCCCAGCGGCCCTGTTTGGGATCACTAGATCCCTTCTTAGTAAGGGGGATTCAGTGATTCATTTGCAGCACCATGCGGAGGAATTTTAGGAGCATCTGCAGGACAAAATTGCTCGGATTCGTTCTAGGTTAGGCTCCGAGCGTGGGCAGGGTCTGGGGAGATACCAAGGGATCATCCTTACCTAGTTATCTGGGAACAGTTTGATTGTGTCACTAGAGACACAGGTGACCTCGTTGACAAGGAGAGGCTGTGTTTAACTTTGGCTGGTGCATCCGGTATAAATCTCAGTAGATGGAGGTAGCATTGTCCCAGTAACACTTTGCTTAATAAGCTCTGATCTGAATTAGTTTAATGCACTCTACATGGTGCATTGCAAATGGTCTTACTGTTAGGTAGAGCACTGAGGGGGGACAGCCTAATGCCAGTCATTAAATGCTGTGCTAGCTCAGTCTATGCTGTTGGCCTTAGTAGTAGACCCCTAAACCTTAGATAGGCTGACCTCAAAGTATTGTGGCCAGGAGCAGGACATTCTCAGTGTCAGCTCTCCACATATGGAACTGGCCTTCAAGGGAATTATGGCAAGTATTCATGCTAGAATTGTGGTGGGAATAAAGAGATGGATGGATGGATGGATGGATGGATGGATGGATGGATAAATAGATAATAGATAGCTATTTTCTTTTAGACAACAATTGAGATGCCTGTTCATCCAAGCCTTTGTAGGATAAAAATCACTCCAGGACCAGAGGATCTTTTAGGCTGCCAACTGTTTTGCTTTTCTTTTCTTTTTAAATGAATCTGGTTTATTTTTAGTCCTTGTTTTTAAGGATTACAGGTTTTATATTTGATTTTTTTTTTCACGCCTTCTCTTATAAACTGCTGTGGGCTTCTCTGGGAGAAAGAAGAAGAAGGAAATAAGATAAACAACCAATATCTTTCTAAATTACAAAATATGTCATACAGATGGAATCAGGTCTTAAATATTCATCCTCAAATGGGAAGAGAACTCAGAAGGAGGTTAATTATCTTTTCTCAGTCCTTGGCTTTGTGATCTTTTGAAGATTCAGCTAAAAGTATTTTATTATTTTTAATTTAATGACATCTAGCAAGAGACTGCATGCCTGCTGTCTCATTCTCCTTTTCTTCTCTCTCCCAGTAACATCTAATATAGGTAGTCATTGATTTACAACCACAACTGGGACTGGAATTTCCATCACTAAGCGATGTAGTCATAAAGTGAGATGTCATGTGACTGCATTGCTTAGTGACTGCAATCCCGGCAGTTCCAGTTGCCATTGTTAACCAAGTGAGTACCCACCCCAATCCAAGCCATTCTGGGCTTGGTCTGTCCTAGCCCTGAGCCTCAAGTAAGGTAAGGGACTGTCTCTAACTCCCCCCCGCCCCACATATCTGCCCTTCTGGCTGCCCTGCACCCTGCCTTGCAGGGTGGCAAGCAACCCCAGAAATCACATGGCTCTGGGGCTGTTTGCCACACCCTGGGAAGCTACAGCCGCCCCAGCCTAGTTCCAGCTGCCCTCACCACCCTGCACTCTGAGACCCCTGCTGCCCTGCGCTTTACCACCCCAGCTGACCTTCGCTGTCTTCTTGCTTCTGCTGTTGATGAGGCATGCCCACCCTGGCTGCTGGGCCAGGTTGGGCTGGGCTTCAGCTGCAAAAAAAAAAAAAAAGCCAAAAGCAGGCCCTGAGCATGGCGGCGCAAAGGTGCATTTTGACATGCAGCTGCTCATGGGCTGCTTTTGGCTTTTTTTTCCCCCACAGCTGAAGCCCAGCCTGGCCCAGCCCAGCAGCCAGGTTGGGCGTGCCTCATCAGCAGCGGAAGCAAGAAGACGGTGAAGTTGAGGTGGTGGAGCGGAAAGTGGCAGGGGGCAAAAGGGCCTAGATGGGGAGAGATAGGTGAATGGGGGGAGTTGAAATGCCCCTGTGGTCGTAAGTGTGGGCGGGCTGCCAAGCACCCAAATTTTGATCATGTGGACGCAGGGGTGCTGCAACAGCCGTAACTTCAGGCACCGTTCATAAGTCACTTTTTTTCAGCACATTCCTAACTTCAGAAGTTCGCTGAACGAATGGTTGTAAGTTGAGGACCACCTGTAATACCACACAGGTGATGCAGGTGCCCCCATGTTGGGATTTTTACCTGCATTGCCAGGATTCTGTGGGAATAGCAATGCTCACAGCAAAGTATTTTGCATCACATCTGTAGGTATTGATCCATGTATATTACCCATAGGCCATTTTTCAAGCCATAGACCCTCCAAGCTATTCTCAAAGGATTGTGAGTAAAACCCAATCCATTTAAAATACAGTGAAATGGTAAAAATAGAGTAGCTAAAAATAGACGAAGCCAGAAAGAAAAATATTCAGTTAAGTAGAGAATGTGCTAAAGTGAAGTAAGTCCTTCATCTAATACTGAAATCATGTTAGATTCACTGGTAAATGTGACTTCCAATAGAAAGCATTACCCCAGCATGGAAGAAAATGTCTCATGCGACCCCACTTTCTTCCCTTCAATTATTTTTTATCCCACATGAAACCCCACGGCCCCTTCTTTTCAGGACCTGAAGCTTCTCCTGACCACTGTTGCTGAAAGCTGAGGACATAATTTCTAAGGCTTTTGAACCATTTTGAAACACAGAAACTGTAGGTGAAATTCTGCAATAGCTTTAACATAAATTTAAAAAGCAATGATCCCACCTCAAACTTCTCCTTTTCGGTGAAAAACTTTGCATCTACTTGGCATCACAGCTCCACTCAGTGTCATTCTCAGGCTTCCAAACAGTACTAAAGGTGGCCCTTAGTCACCAAAAGATGGCCAATTCCTGCTCTGGATGGACTAGTATAGATGTGGTAGAGGGAGGTAACTCTTTATGTTTTTATTCACAACAAAAGAATAAAGTACTGTGAGATCGACTAGCTGCTAGACATTCATTGGCTCCAAGTAATTCAGTGGCACGCATGGCCAAGGGAGGGTTTTAATTTCTGCCCTCCCTATTTTTCTCTTATACCTTAACTATTACAGCATAGAATATGTTCTGGGGGAAATCATCATGTTGACATAGGAGAAAGGTTTGGCAGTTTTTTGGAGTTGGTTATGATCCTCTTCAGATAAGCTGATGTCAGCCTTCCCAGGTGGATCAGACAGGAAACATGACCAGGTAAGATAATTCTACTATATTGTAAGGCTACATTAACAGAATCTTGCAAGTCTGAAAGTACAAATCTCCTGCTGTCTCTTTTACAGCCTGAGAAGTTAGGGAGGGTGCCTTCTGAGCCTCTTTATCTGCCCATTATGGAGCTGTGGGCTATGCTGTCTCTTATCTGACCATTCCCTAGGCAGCATCTCTTCGCCCTGTCTCTCAAGATCTTTCTCACACACCATTACAGCTGGTGTGCACGTGGACACACACTACCTATGTGTCCTCTTGTCAGTTCCCCTGACTATAATGCTTTGGGCTGTAATACAAAAGAAGACATACATAAATGCATGTAGCCATTCTCCATCCAGCTGGGAACCCTGGCTTCACACTCAAATGAGTGACTCTTCCCATGTATATGATTGCCTCCCCCTCCCCCCCAGAAACTGGACATGTATGGCCAGAGAGCAAAAAGCAGTGGGTCAAGTGGCACTGAGCACTGGGAAAGTGTCTTTGATTCTTCTCCATCTTATTAACCAAAGTTGAAGAATGTCTTTGTAGTTCTCATTACATGCAATCCTAGTTTGAATATCACACAAGAACCCTGTGCAGGCCTTTGTAAGGAATATATTTTGTACATGGAAAGAGAGGGACAACAGAGATAAGTGTACTTCTTCCCTCCTTGTTATTCCCCACAAAATAAGGAGAAATACAATCTGAAACTGCATGGAGAATTTTTATAGAGGAAGGATGTTCTCTATTGTGATCAATCACCTCTGCACGTGGGGGATGGCAGAGGGAGCAGAGTTAGTGCATTCATTCCTTCTCTTTTTGTGTTCATAATTTCCTTGCTTTAAAAATGCTTGGAGTGGGCTGAGACGTTCAATGCATTCATATGACACTGGATTCCATTTATCACATCAAAGATGGTATAACTACTGTATATCAATAATGTTTCTTTATGCTTTATTTCATAAAGTAGTCATTTCACACCTCTCTATATTTGATTTTTGGCACCATCAGCATTTGAATCCTGGCAATATAAATGACATATCCCAAATTGCCTAGAAATGATTTGCAAATTACTTTGGAAATCTGCCACCTAAATGTAGCTATCAAACCAAACGTGGCTCTCTGCTTCCTCATTTGTCTTCACTACCTTCTTCTGGCTTTTGGGTTCATTGCTTCTATTGTCCCTAATACCAAATTTGAGGAAAAAATAATTTGTAATACTGAGCCAAGTGAGTTTGTGGAATTATCATAGTCTGGAGTAGTTTGAAGTTGTTTGTCATGGATTTTCTGCTTGATTGTTCTAGAGACAGTTTGGTAATCATGACTCTTTGGTCTCTTGCTTTGCTTCGCTCCTGACAGATTAACTTCCGGTGCAAGCCAACTTTTCGAGAAGGCAGTTCCAGATCTCCAAGAGAGGTGAGTGGCAGGAGACAGACTGGGGGCTAATGCTTTGGTCCCTGCATGCTACATGTAGCTGTACCTGAATGACACTTGTCACGAAGGACTCTGCTGAGTGTCCAGTAGGCCTGTGCAAGATGACTTTTGCCTCAATAAAGTGCTCTGTGCTGTGAATGCGAAACAAGTTTTCTCACTAAGGCAAAAGGAGAGACACACTGAACTCAGTCCATATGATTTTGCTCTTTATGTCAATGTAGAAAATAGATTAATTCAGTAATCAGATTAGGGGTGTTGTGTGAATATAGGCATGGGGTCAATTTGGCCTTAATAACTGGGGAGGACTGGAAACTGCACATTTCACAGAAGTAACTAGAATGGATAAGAATGGGAGTTCTAATCTCACACATCTAAAAGTCTTCAGATTTCAAAGGGTTAAACTAGGAAAGCATATGTCCTAGGCTTAGCCTAAAAATCATAATGGCTTTGAGAGATGTTACAACTGGAAGGCTAGACATCCAGGTTCCAACCAGTTCTTTTCAGCCTCATGGGAATTTTCCACTATGAAAGATCTCTCTGTGTGTTTCAGAATGTCTTATGAGCCTTTACTCCTTTACTTATCATGCATGATTACCTTTTGGCAATGCGAGGGAATGTCTTTGCTCTCTTATATGTGAGTTTGTGAAGTTTCTACATATAATTTGGGTTGGGGTGTATTTTTAATTAATTTTATTCCTTGTTTGTGCTTCCCCCCTCTACAGAATTTTGTTCGGCATCACTGGGTTCACAGAAGGCGACAGGAAGGGAAATGTAAACAGTGTGGAAAGGTAGAAATAATGCCATCAAAATCTGTGTGTGTGTGTGTGTGTATATATATATATAATTGTAAGTTTTAGTCTCCAGGTGTCTCTTCCTCTAGCAGCATAACAGGTCTCTTCAGAGGTTTTTCTGTTCTGCTTTTTCTGTTTGTTTGATTTCCTGTTCAGAAATTAAAACTGAAGCCTGTAAAATGTACTGTAGATTTTAATGACTTCAGTTCATTTCTGCTATTCTTCGCCTCCCCACCAAATTCTGAAGTGAAGCTTCTGGCTGCTAGATACTGACTCACCTCTGCTGTAGCTGTTATCTGGGCTGCAAAAGTCCAGATGACCACCAGATGACAGCAAAGTCAGATTTTATACTTTTCTATGCCTCTTTACTGCTGTCTAGAGGCTGTTCAGATGTTTGCAGCCCAGTCACATTAGCCTTACCATAATGCATGGATACTGTTTGGCTCACTCAAGAATTTTATTTGGTTCAAGATTTGGAAATCTAAATCTTAATTTCTGACAGTAGCAAAACAGTCTGATATTCAAAAACATCATTAATTTGGGACTTTTAAAAACTGCTTCCATGTACGACTCATATTTAATGCTCCTTGTAGCCCTAGTTCTCAATTTAGCAAATCTGAAAAAAAAAAAAAAAAACCAGCAGCAATTTGTCAGACCCGTGGAAAAGAATAAGAGCTCTATTATCTCTCAGCAGCATCTTTTATTTTTCACATCATTCATTCCTCTCAGTCACTTTTTAAATTATTACTTTTCTTAGAAACTAGATAATTTCACCATCTTTCTCCCACTCTTTAAAAAAAGCCCAAATCTCTGATCTTTCAACATGTACCAATTATACAGTTGATGCAGTTTCTGAAATGCGGCTGTTCACTGAATTCCTAAAAACCAAATTTCCGTGTTAATATATATTATGAAGGGAAGTACTAACAGCAGGAGATAATAGATTGCGTTAAACATGAGGGACAACTGGTAGAAGCTAAAGCTGCAAGTCCAAGAGCATTCACTGTGTGTGTGAGGTCCAAGATTAAAAAAACAACACAACATTTCGACTTCTTGTAGCATGGCCAGCATCAGAGGGTGGCAGATTTAGTCATTTATCTGAGATCCTGAAACAATGGAGGGAATGGCTGGTGTGGGTCTTCCGGGCTGTGTGGCCGTGTTCTTGAAGTTTTGTTTCCTAACGTTTCGCCAGCACCTGTGACCGGCATCTTCAGAGTGCAGGAGCACAGACAGGAGCAGTTCTCTCTGTGCCCAGGGTGATGTGACCCTTTTGTGGGTTTTTATAGAGATCGGGGGGGGGGGATTGGGTGTGTGTGTGTGGGGGGGTTGGGTTACTGAGTGGCTGCTTGTTTTGGTGTCAGCAAGTTCATTGTGTGAACTGTTCACATGTCCTGGTGGTTGAGCTGAGTTCCTTGACCTTTTGCAGGCTGTATTTTTCAGGAAAAATACAGCCTGCAAAATACAGCAAAACTTCAAGAACACGGCCACACAGCCCGGAAGACCCACACCAGCCATTGTATGCCGGCCGTGAAAGCCTTCGACAATACAATGGAGGGAATGCTCCTAACAGCACAACCATACCCACTTTGCATTAAAGATTTAGGTCCTACCTGACTTCTAGTTTCCATATCCCATTCTTCTGGATTAGGTGTGCTAATTGGGATACCTTTCTTGAGGGCCTATAGAATCATGGTATTGGCACTGAATTAATCAACAGCAGGTGCTGCAGTTTGAGAACTGTCTGTTTTAGATTCCTTGGTTATTTATTTCTGCCAAGGGATCTGAATGGAGCCATTTGAATTATGACCCTTGGCTGTAAATGATAGATTTCGCACTGTGTTCTGGATGGAAGCATGGAGACATATAGAATGGTCCAATGGTTTCTTATATAAGGAGTTACTTACATGTCGATTGTGTAATCTCACAATATTCTATTTATTTATGTAAGAGGCTGCTCCTCTCACAATTTGTGACTCTGGGTGCATACAGCAATCAAAATTAATAAATAAAAATGTAGAAAGTCAGAAATACTATACAAAACCAAAATAAGCAAACAAAAACATCTAATCTACACATAACTGAGGCTGGCAATAGTAGTGTATATTCTCATCACAGAATGATCCCATATGCCATCCCAGTCCAGTGCATGGCAGAAATGCCAGGTCTTCATGGCTCTGCAGAAGGCCAATAGGATCAGTCCATCTGAAACTTGGAGGGGACTTGTTCCAAAGGGTAGCCACACGTGACAGAGAAAGCACATTTCCTAAGCCCCATTAGATGGCATTGTTTCAAAGAAGGGACCTGGAGCCTGCCCTGTTTGAGCTTGTGGGATAGGCAGAGACAACTGGAGAGAGGTGATCCCACAAGTAATCTGGTATTTGCAAAGTTGTGCAAAGGCCCTCTTGGGCATGGCTGTTATCTGCTCCTCAAGCAGAGCCATAAGTCCAGGAGGACCTTTATGTTGTAAACCAGCTCCAAGTGGGGAAATGCAACTCCTGGGGTGTCCTCAAATCCACTGCCCCTCAAACCCACTATTAGAGTTGAATTGGAGCCTATTCTTCCATATGTACAGCCTCCAGACACCGGGACAGAACTGAGGCATCATCACTTGGTCAGCCTGAGGGAGGGATGTATAATTGAATATCATCAGCACACTGATGATACTTGTCCACACTGAGTGGCTTCATCACTAGTCCTCCCACTCTCAAACCCTTGAATTGATCCAGAAGGATACCATGGTTGATGATACTGAAGGCTGCTGAGAAATGAAGCAGGACTAGGAGGAATGCAATTCCACATCTTGAACCTACCCTAGATCATAAAAAAGCATCACCAGTGTTATCTCAGTACTGTGTCCTGGCTTGAAATCTGACTGGTCTTTCAAAGCTGCGGTTTGACCACATTCTCAACAGGCTTCTGTAAAAAGAGAAGGCTGGAGACTCAACAAATATTGTCCACTTCTGTTGGATTCAGTGGAGGAGGAGCTGGACCACTGTCTCCTTCAGAGATGATGGAATCAGTCCCTCTCTCTGTTTCAAGCTGGAAGTGTTGGAACATATATAACAGTCTGTTGGTTTCCTTATATAAGGAGTTATTTACATGTCCATTGTATACTGTATCTCAGGACTGTCCAAAAAGTTAACTAGTTGATGGATTGGTCTATATCAGCTCTAGGCTCAGGTTGATAAAGTATAGAATGTTATTGAAACTTTGATAGACCTTTAGCAGAACTTTTAAAGATATGTTTAGAAAGTAAAGATATCATCAATGAATAGAACTCCAACTCTAGCAGCTGCCTTATATCATATGGCTGTTAGAGATCTGTGTTAGAGCCATTAACAGCCTCAGTTATATTTGGGAAAAATATGTGAAATGTTAATTGGTGATGCAACAAACTCTTGTCATTTCAGGGCTTTCAACAAAAATTCTCCTTTCATAGTAAAGAGATTGTGGCTATCAGCTGTTCATGGTGCAAGCAAGCAGTAAGTAATTTTCTCAAAGTGACTATGCAAACATCAACATGGCTAAAATAAGATCCCATGTGTAGAGTCAATTTTGCTGCTTCTCTCCCATTCCCTTCCTCTTAGGTGCTTACTAGATAGACAGAGAGGTGCATCTGTTGGGTTCTTTTAATTAGGCGTTCATCGTTCTCCCTAAAATATGCCAAAAAAGGAAGGTTGCCTTTCTTTTCTTGTACTCATCATTCAAATACAAGATGACTTTCCTTTGAGAACTTATTTCTCCATTGTTTATTTTGTTAAAGGGTCACTTCCAAGGGACCATGCAAAAACTGGCAGCAAAGTCACAAAAGGAGGATCACACCATATTTAGTCATCAACAAAAGACTATGATGAATTTAACAACGTTCTTTTAAACTTCAAAACAAAACTTATTTCTCCATTTCTGAGTAATAAATTTGGATACACACATAAATAGGATTTTAATATTACAGTATTGTAAGCAATTGTTCCCCTTCATGGATCACTGCCTTGTCGTGGCGAAGGGGCTTGTGTAACTCAGTGAAGCC